GCAGGGAGTCTGCTTCTCCCTCCGACCCTCCCCCCTCTCATGTGCTCTCTCTCATTCTCTCTCTCTCAAATAAATAAATAAAGTCTTTAAAAAAAAAGAATGAAATGACCCAGCATCTCTACAGTCTCTTGCCTTTCCCAAGATGATGTTATTAACATTACCTAATTGTATCCTCCCTCAAACACTATGAGATGGGAATTTGCAAGATTTACAAACAGATAAGTGGAGGTTAGCTGTCCAACATTACTCAAGAGAATTATTATTTATTAAACTGAGTATACTTTATATCTAGGACTTATTTCATATTTATTAGCTCTTATAGATGAGGCATTATTATTCTCATTTCCAACTAGGGAACCTGAAGCTCAAAGAGATTAAGTGGTCCACTCCAGATTACCCAACTCTTGAGTATTAGATCTGTAATTTGTATACAGGTCCATCTGACTCCAAGGGCATGCTCTTTTCACTGTCCTGCAGTCCTTCACTGGATTGGTAATAACACAAAAGGGGTCACATTCCATCCTAAAATAACCTGTTGCAAACAGGAAAGTGCCTTAGCTCCCCATTAGGTGATCCCTATGTGCAAATTTTGCAGATTTATGGCCAACTCACCAGTTCACCTTCTCCTGAATGGTTACCTCAGGCTGACAAGTCATCAAAGACAAGATGAAGAAAGCAGCAGCAAACATCTCATCCACCCTATATTACTTAGAACGAATAAAATTATTCAGAGAGTTGGAGTTAAAGATGTCTTCAGGCTGGGACCTGTAAGATCAATTTAATGTTTGGAACTAACAGAACTCACTCAGCTCTCATTGAGATGTGGTTAATTAGTGACAAGGGTTATTGATTAGCCAAACACCCTAAAATTTCAGACACCAAAGGCCACTGTCCTTCAGACCTTTTGAAAAGTAATATCCATATGGTTGAGGAAAGGAGGATTTGAAGCCAATACCAGTCTGGGAAAGAGAACTTATTTTCAGAATGAGGCAAAGCCAAATCAAGAGACAGTTGCAGAATTCATTCAATCTTTCTGAGTGGCTCTCAGAACTTCTGAAGTCAGATCGATTTGCTTTGTAAGACTGAAACAGGGCTAATACTGGTGTATCAGCTTCGTCATAAACAGCCGCCCAAATGTAGAAAATGTTAATAGTTACATAAAGGTTCGACAATGTATTGCCAAACATCTGGAGCCTGAGAGCTGTGGTAAATGAATGGACTTTCCGCTTTTCATCCAGACATTAGATATCATTAAGACCCAGCATATTTGTGTTTTGAGGGGACCAGATGTCTTCCGTAGACATCTCCAGAAGCATTCTCTAGAATTATAGTGACAGCTACACATCTGCACCGATGATATCATACCTACATACATTCTCTTACTCTTCCAGATATATTCATAAATTAATTAAGTAAGTAGAGACAGAGAGACAGGAATAACTGAACATGGGGCAGGCATGTCATATGTCTTATTTTCCTGAATCCTCACAAGTCAATGAGATAGAAATGATTAATTTCATTTTGCAGTTGAAGAAATGGAGGTTCAGAGAAGTTAAGTAACTTGCCCAAAGGATGTACAGCCGTCTTGATCTCTTTGGGAATATTTAGTTTCTCTCATTAGCAAGATTAGCCAGTAATATCATTATTCATCTCAAATAAAGTTATGAAAAATTTTGATGACCAACTTGTATGCTTAAGAAATGTGTGTCTGATTTAAATGTGGAGATTTTAATAAGACACCCAGTTGTTACTGCCTCTGTTTTTCAGACATTTAAGCAAACATTTGACAGAAGTGGAGACTGATTCTGGGTCCTAAAAAAACCCTGAAGTCCCTGATTTCTGTGTCTCTCTCCCATGTGTGGAGGAATTTAGACTTCTAATTTTATAGACAATGGGGGAGCCACTGAAGGTTTCTGAGCAGGAGACTTAGATTGTCAGGAGCTGTTTTCTTAATGATGAGTCCAGTGGTAATGCACAGGCAGATCTGGTCTGAGGAGAAAAACAGAGGCCTACTAGGAGTCTAACAGTGGTCTCAACTAGGAGTGATTTTGCCCTTGAGAGGACATTTGTTAACGTCCAGAGACATTTATGGTTGTCACAGCTTTGGAGGTTGTGCTCCTGGCATCCAGTGGGTGTTAAACATCCTACAAAGCATGGGACAGCACCCCCTGTCCCCAACAAGGAATTATCTGGCTCCAAATGTCAATAGTGTCAAAGTTGGGAAACACTACCCCACAAAAAGCTACTGCTCTCCCCTGATGCCTAGGATTCTGGTGAATTGATTTTCTTCTTTTTACATATAGATAATATCATCTTCCTTCCCAGACCAGCTCCTTCTTGAGATTTCCCTGATGCCTTTTCTCCTCACCCAAGACGTTAGTGGCCTTCAGGAATCCTCCTTAACCTCTGCTCACCTCTCTCACTCTCCAACCCCCAACATGGTCCCCTAAATTCTGTCATCTTTCCTCTGTAATGCTTTCCCTTCAAAGTTTCTCTCCTTCATTATTACCTTTGGATCCATTTCAGAGGCCGATCACGATAGACTCCTAGTGGGCGTCTGTTTTTCTCCTCAGACCAGACCTGCCTGTGCATTACCACTGGATTCATCGTCAAGAAAACAGCTCCTGTCAACCTAAGTCTCCTGCTCAGAAACCTTCAGTGGCTCCCTCATTGTCTATAAAATTGGAAGTCCAAATTCCTCCGCACATGGGTCCAAAGCCGTATTTGCAACCTTCATCAACCACCAACCTCAAATTATCCCTGACATTCTAGGCTAGGTTCTCCTGACCTTCCTCATACTTTCTCATTGCCGTGACTTTGCCCATGCTGGACCCTTACCTGGACTACCTTTATCCATCCTCTTCTACCCTTCCGGCAAGTGTCTTCTCAAATAGCATGTCCATCATGGATCCTTGGTTGACGGTCCCATCTGGAAGGTATCTCCATGTTATCTTTGAACCTTGCAAATACATACCAGAACTTTTCAGTTTTGACTCATACTATGTTTTTCTAGGGGCATGGGATACATCTCAGTAAAAAAATTTCTCTAGGGTAAATCCTGTGTCTGATTTTCTCTGTAATCACCCATATCACTTAACACTGAATCTTTAATAAGAAATAGTATTTGATTGAGTGAATCTGTAAGCGAGTCAACTAAAGATAGTTTACTATTCATAATACTTTCAAGTGTATTTTCTCATTTAATCTTCAAAATAATCTTGTGAGATAAATATTATCCTCAAGAGAATCTTGACAGAGAGACAGTGATTAAGAGGGAAAATGGAAACAAGGTAGATAGAGTACCAAGCCCTGTACCTGCCACTTTACATGTTTTTTTTTATAATCTTTTTCAATCTATTTAATCTTCACAGTGATCTCACAAGGCCAGTAGACATGGTGCTATTTCGAAAATGAGGATATTGAGTTCAGCCTGCAATCACACAGCTGGTGAGTCTCAAAGTCATGGATTGATAATCTGTTCAACTTCAAAACCTGAGACCTTTTGTGGTCTGGTCACATGACTACCAAGTGGCATATCAGGACAGGGCCTGGGTCTCCTACCTGTGGGTCTTGTTCTCTGTCCATTATGCCTTAGCTCTGAGAATGACTATCATTTCCCAAGACAAAGAAAGAAGCTAGAGTGAATGGAGGGGTAATCACAGAATAGAAGCAAGAGAGAAGCTAAGTCAAATGGGATCATGTCATGCCTCTATGACTCTGTGTGTGTGTGTGTGTGTGTGTATGTGTTGGGCAGGACACTCATCTGTTTTCAGCCAAAATGTTCTAAGATGAATGGGAAACACCAAAAAATTGTTAGGTTTGCATATGTGGATTTCACCTTAATTGCAGTGTTCTGTTATCAAAGATAGATAGTTGTAAAATACCATGCAGAAGAGACAGCAAGATGGCAATTTATTTTGAAGATGCATTGCTTGTCTTGGGGAAACACTTTCCACTATCTTGATCAGCCTGTGAGTTACAGCCTCAGAGTGGCACCTGTCCTGCATTGGCCCAGACTGACATCCAGGTCAGTGCTCTTTGAAAAACCTTTGAAGCTCTGCACCTCGTTCCCCCATGCTAGGCCCGCAGCTTGCCCAGTGCACACAGATCAAAACTCTGCACACCTAATGCAATTGGAGACAATTTGCTGGAATGGAAAGAACACAGTTGTAGGTCAGAAAGTGCCACTGATCAGTTATTGTCACCCAGCCTCAATTTCTTCATCTGTAAAATGGATAAAATGATACCTATCAGGCTTGTATTGCAGAATAGAAGACTGAAGAAGGAAATCTAGCCTCAACTGGGAATTCTGAATAGCTGCGGCTCATGTATGTTAGCAGTGCTGCTGCTTCTCTCTGCTTCTCCTCCCGAGTATCTGTCTCCTCTCATAGACATGGGCTCCTTCACCTAAGTACCAGTAAAGGGGGAAAGTGGAAGAAAGGAGGGTCCTGACAAGGAGAAGAATGGAGAAGGATAGAAGGTGGGACGTTCCCATTCAAGTGCCCAGGGCTGATTCTGAGGCCTTCTGCAGGGAGGGCCAGGTGACACTGTGGTAGAAGGACCCGCTTCCGCATCTCTGCCCAGGCTCATGTACCATGCCAGCAGCTCAAAGGTTGAAAACTTGGGGAGCACCTCAGAATAGCAACTTTAGCTTGGAAATGCCCAATCTTGAGATGGCCAGAAGCAAACGAAGCTTCTCTAAGCAGTTTACTGGTTGACAATCCACGTGGATGGCAGAGCAGACAGTTTTGTGAGTTTGTTTGAGGTGTGTCTCCAGAAGCAAGTGTGTGTGTGTGTGTGTGTGTGTGTGTGTGGTGATGATGATGATGATCTGCTCCCTCGCTGGAGAAACCTACAAAATATTCAACACAACACCAGGCACAACGTCTGCAGACAGTCAGTGAGCACCCCCAGTCCACTGGTTAGCCTTCCCCCACCTCCTCTCTCAACACTTTGTGAGACTGAATGTCTGTGATATTTGTTTCCCCTCCTGTTCCTTTCATCAGGCCAGGCCAGGGCTGCAGCCAGCAGATGGTGATGGTGGGTTTTCAGCTGGAAATGAAGTAGGGCTGGTTTAAGTAATTGATCTCAATCAGAGGCTTCATAAGGGATGGGCTAATGCATGCCTACTGCTTCCCACTTCATGTTGAAGCTCTGCATTTGCATTTAAGGGGTGGGATGAGAAGGAGCCAGCTTCTGGCTCATTAGCATAGAAATGCAAGATCTTTTCTCAAAGAAGGCATTGAGCATTGGAAGCAGCTCAGGCCAAATCTGGGTGGTCCTTTGGGAAATTCCTATTGGAATTTGGCTGCAATAAAGACCAGAGTCCATTTTACACCTGAGCAAGTTCTCCAGGCTTCATCCATGGATCCACTGTCTTTTCTGCCTTGCCTCCCCCCACAGCATGGTGAAATCTGCACCTCACCCCGGTTCCCACAGCACCCTGGCCGCAGCTCCCTCTCTGAAAGACCACCAACTTGGTGCTTTGGGGTTTATCCCACTTGTGATCTCTGGGAACGCTTGAAGACAGGGCTGTGTTGGCCCAGAGTCTGTGTGCACCAGATGTAAGAGTCTGTGAATGGAGCTAGCTTTCCACAGCCAGGCCGACTCCACGTGCCCCATGAGCAGGCAATAAGGGACTGCAGTGTGTGCACAGATATTATTAAAAAAGAAAGCAGCACACTGAGAGATCCTGATACTTTCTATCTCCCACTACACTGGGAGATTCAGGGGGACAGGGGCTGGTTTTAAATGACTTGTACCCCGGGGCTGGCACT